CACCAGAGACTTAGGACATGTCCCTCTCTCGCCCGTTTGTAACCTCTACTACGAACTTTCAGTGCTAGTAACATGAGCAGCAGCAACGAACTGGACGTAGGGACATTCTGCCCGAACCAGTATAAACCTCGTGTCCTCTAAGCACACCATCCGAGCCAGACGCGCAATATTAGAAATTTACTCGTTAGTGTTTACTTGAAACACCGACAAGAGTTCTATGGCGTAGTATCTCTTATATTGCTTTTTGTGAGAAAGGGGAGAAAGAGGGAGGAAGAGGAAAATGGTCTTCAGGTCCTTCATATTTATCCTTTCCATGATGGAGCGGCCTGTCGTCCTTGCTCTGTTGGTATCATCATCGTGGTGTCAGCAGAGCACAGAGCAAGATACTAAATAGCATGTAGCGGGTTGATAATGGATTAGTGTCGAGTAGAGGATCACGGATAGCGGACGCTATAGCGGCCATGCCAATTATATTCAAATTTAAGCACATATATTGTGAATAATGTGGATAAATAGATATTTAACTATACTCCAATAACTAATGTCTCATATATTTAAATTAAGAAAAAACATAGTAGCAGTAGTAGACTGCTACCGCTACATCATATTTGCTAAATCTAGTCTGCTACATTGTAGTGGTAGTGGAGACCGCTACGGCTGCTATAGTAGCGGCTACCACCTCTATTATTACCTTGAGCACAGGAGTGATGGCCGCAATACTATAGTAGCCATCACTCCTTTAGAACTTATAACGTAGAAGGATATCTCGCGCGTTGCTGCGGAATTTTTTTAAAAGTAAAAATTCTTGCATGCATAAATTAAATCTATATATTCTTACATCCATTTTTATCAAAATTAGACAAGGCAATGAAAGACTCTATAAAAAAAACTAACAGAATTAAATCAAATTATAAGACGATGGAATGGCAAAACAAATAGCAATATATGAATGCCTCTATGGCCATGTTCGCTTGTTTTATAATCCATACTTTTCAGCTTATTTTTTCAGCCGGAACAGTATTTTTCTCCCACAACAAATCAGCCGGAACATTGTTTCGACTTGTTTTTTTAGCGAAGCGAAGCGAACAGTGTTTCTTATATGTTGAAATTAAATTGTGCTTAGTGAAGATGGTGTAAACAACTTGCATTAAGAGATTAAAAATTAGTGGGATGACATGGCTATTAGTGAGAGGCTATGGATAGGTAGTGGGAAATGATGTGGATGTCTTTGTTGAGATAAAACTTGTATTGGAGTAAAATTATATTTTATTATTTATTATTTGCAAAATTTAATATTATTTCAGATTATTCCCCATTTCCATCCATACTGTCGTCTCGATATTTTGCTTGATGCTACTTTTGTGCGGTAGATATATCAAACACTTTTGTGCGAGATATATTTAAATTTTACGAGAATTTTAGGTTGGCTTATTAAATCTATATTGCTTCATGGTATATCTGGTCTACTAATATGTGTTCACTACAAAGCGTCCAACAATCACAAGATGGTTTGGACAAGCCAGCATCTTAGTGATAATGGAGGGATGAGCTTCTTAGGCCTCGTTCTCATTCTTAATAATAAAATTTATAAATGTCAGTTTGAGACGCTGTTTTTTTATGCATCTTTTTGCCTGACTTAGCTTGAGCTTGAATATTTTAAAATTCACGGGTGCTTTTAAGTTGTTTTTATTTCTTTTGTGCTGAACAACTGTTGGAACATGTGATTAGTATATGGCCCGTTCGCTGGGAGGAATTTGAAGGAATCTGGATGAATCTGGAGGAATTTGTGAGAGGAAAATACTGTTTCGAATAGAAAAAGAAGCGGATCAAGCCGAGTTTAAGGGCACGCGAACGGGGCCTATGAATGGATTGTTTAATATTCTCACATTGTAAATTATATTTCTAACGTGATATATATGAAGTGATTTCAAGAAAATAATATTGAAGAGTCTCACATTTTGCTTGATATATGATTTTTATAAACACGTGCGTGATGCTGCCTGTCTACTAGTTGGGCCAAAATGACTTTCTACTTTCAACTTCCAACATCCAAGTCTATAATGAATTTCCAAAATTACTTCACATTTCTATAAATTTGGCCATCTTGTTTGCATTTTCAAAAATACGAAAAGGACAATACACACTACCAGAATGCCCAGGTTTGTCGTGTGTCCACCGCACACGGCGAAGCCCAAAAAACTTTTGGCAAAGGCTTTGCTGAGTGTTACACTCGGTAAACGACACTCGGCGTACACAGTGACGGCAAAAGTTTATTTGCCGAGTGTTTTTTATCGGGCACTCGGCAAAGACGTTGCCAAGTGCTGAAACCAACGCTCGGCAAAAAAAATTAACGTGACGGCGCGGAGACGGTCACGGCGTGTTTGCCTAGTGTCTAACGGCCTCGGCACTCGGCAAACATAACCTTGTTTGCCGAGTGCCCCGGCCCTGACACTTGTCAAATATGCCTGTCTTTGCCGAGTGTCCAGGCCCTGACACTCGGCAGATATTTTTGTGAAAATAAAAAAAAAGGGCCCGACGCTGCCCGTCACGGCCGGCCGCGTTGCCCCTGCCATGCCGCCCACCACCACAGCCGGCCGCGCTGCCCCGCCCACCACGGCCACCGGAGTGCCGTGCCACACCGCCCGTCGCCCGCGTGCCCCGGCCGACCCGCGCCGCCCCCCGCCACGGCCGCCGGAGTGCCGCGCCGCGCCGCCCGTCGCCCGCGCGCCCTGACCGACCTCGCCCGCCACGGCCACCGGAGTGCCGCGCCGCCCCGCCCGCCATGGCCACCGGAATGGATAAGGAGAGAGAGGGGGGAGAGGGTAGGGATAAGAGGGGAGGGATCTAGGGAGAGGAGTTTGAGCCAATGGGAGATCTCCATTTTGGAGACACGGATCACTGACATGGTTAGATGGTTTGTCGAGTGTCCCAGGTCTGACACTCGGCAAACCGCAGATTTGCCGAGTGCCAGATAAGGGACACTCGGCAAACCTATTTTTTTCATTTTCATTCTTCTCCTTCTCCATAATGTGTTTTTTTCTAGGAATATTTGATTTTTCCCTCAACAATATATATTTGATTTTTCATAACGTGTACTTTGAAAATACCTTGTCAAATTCACTCAACAATATATATTTGATTTTTCTAGGAATATTATTCCATTATTTTATGAAGTTATAGCACAAATTTAATTTATATCAATTAAAATTCTATAATTACACTTAATAAATTAAAATTATCAAACGGATCCAAAAAAAATTACTAAAATTTCACATGTAACAATCTATGTTCTCTATTGCCTATACAAAAAGTTTTGAAGTCAAACCCGAATTCGACCGTCACATTCACTCCAAAACTTATTGAATCCTTCTCAACGCTACAATTCTTCTTCGGAGATGCTTCGGTTTGTGAGCATCGTACATGAAAAATTGTGCGAAACATTCTCAATTTTTTACCACAGCCTCCACGTATGATATCATGAGATCTTGACAAATCTCATGATTTTCAGACTTCGTTTGCTTTTTTTAGAATTTAAAAACCATTCGGCCACACGTTTGTGGTCGTGTTTCCTGAACAAGATGTTCGAAATTTCTTTTCATTTCTCGGGTAAGGCCTTAGACTGGACTCAATAGCATGAATATCATTTTTCTACTCATTTTATTCTATTATTTGAATCACTTGCGGTTCAAATTTGACTTATACCAAAACAATTCCTTGAAATACAATAAATTAATTGAATATAGCAAACAGATCCAGAAAATATACCAAATCTTAACATGGAGTACCACATATTGTATGTGGAGAGTTGAAAAAGTTTCAAGGTCAGAAGAGAAAAAAAACTTATTTATTTGCCAAGTGCTAAAAAAACACTCGTCAAACATATTTCTTTGCCGAGTGAAAAAAAAACACTCAACAAACTTATTTCTTTGCCGAGTGCCACTAACGGACACTCGGTAAACTCCTAATGACCAGCACACTAAATGACGGATGTCCACGTGACGGTTTGTTGCCGAGTGTCTATATTTTGCCGAGTGTTTTTTTCTAGTTCGCCGAGTGTTTTTTTTTCAGCACTCGACAAAGAGTTTATTTGCCGAGTGCCATTATTTTGCCGAGTGTGTTTTTTGCAGCACTCAGCAAATAGTTTGTTTAGCAAGTGCCCGATAGAATACACTCGGCAAATTTTTTTGCTCTCGGCAAATCTACTGTTTCCGATAGTTACAGGGGAAAATTAGTAGATCCAACGATACAATATGTAAAATTTCACCAATATGTAACTCATCTACCCTAACTACCCTACTAATCTACTAATTTACCGTACTAATCTACTAAATTTTTTTTCTCTAGATCCGCACCAAAAAAAACTTCTCCCACTGAGAAGCCCTCGTCTATCCATCTAGGAAAACAACATCATTAAAATGGACTGTCCAGATTTAGTTTAAATCTTGTCTCCTCTTACTCACTCAAATCCAACGGCTAAGATCGTGTGTCAACCTCCTCAGCCTCCTCCTCCTCCTCCTCCTCCCCGCGCGATCGCGCCCTCAATCACGCGCGGAGATCGCGTCCCTCAGGCAAAACAAGAAAGCCCCCAATCACGTGCCACCGCATGGAAACATCTTCCTTTCCTGTCATCCTCACGCTGATTGCCGATTTCCTTTCTCCCTTGTGGATCAACCGTCAGGGCGCGGGCCGCGCAGGCGACAGGGCCGCGGCGGCGCGCGAGGACGCGGAGGCGCGCGGGGGCCTGGCCGGACCGCGGGGCTGCGCCGGCTCGCAAGGACGCGTGGAGACGTGGAGACGCCGAGGCGCGCAAGGACGCGGAGCACGCGGCGGACGCGGCTAGGGCTTCCTGACTGCCGCGGTGCCGCCCCGCCGGTTCCCCCACGCCGCCAGGCCGCAGGGTGCCAGCCATCCGCAGCAGGATGTGGATTTCATTCACGTTCGTGCACGCGTCCTCTCAGCAGCAGCAGACGAAGTCCAACCCGTTGGCCTTCATTCATTCATTAGGGAATATGGGGATTACATTCTTCAGCCAGCAGGTTTATAATACAGGTTGGGACAACTTGCCACTCCACAACTCTGTAATCACCTTTGGCCTGCTGAGCTAGCTTATGAGCTATGCGATTACAGGAACGACTAGGATACATTAGATTAAAGTCATGAAAACATGAACTAATCTCCAGAATCTCCCTGAGGATTGGCGCTAAGCATGGCCTTTGATTGTCGCCTCGAGCCCACAAACTAACCAGCTCCTGGCTATCCGTCTCCAGCACCAGTTTCATTGCCACTCCTTCGCCAGCGGCATACCATCAAGACAGGCCAATGCCTCCATCATCAAGGCATCCAAAGCATGGGGGTACCAGCGTGAACGACCGCCCAGAAAGAGACCTGTGGAGTCCCTGAGGATCACCCCAGACGCGCCATGCCCAGCGTCCGGGCGGTAAGCACCATCAGTGTTACATTTGACCCAACCTACCGGAGGAGGCTTCCAGGCTGGTTTTGCAAAACCCGGACTGACCTTCTCTTTCAGTTTGACGATTTCCAGCAGATCATGGGCCATGTCGATAGACCAGTGCACTGCTACCTTTATAGGTGGTTGATCTTCACCACGTAGCCGTTTATTCCGCTGCATCCACAACGAAATACATGCCAATGATGAAAATGCTCCTCTCCATGTCTGTACAGCATTCAGGCATCAAGATATCCGTTGCCCAAGTATGTGAGTGCAGACTTGGTAATTTGGATCCAGTGAGGAGCTTGACCTCCCGCCAAAACAGCTTTGCTATGGTGCACTAAATGAGAACATGCCGAATTGACTCACTGTCAGCTCCACAAACTTCGCAGAAGGCTGTTGGCTCAATATGTCGACGGTACAGCACTGACTTTGCCGGCAAAAACTCATGGAGCACTCTCCACCACAACACACGCACCTTCGGTGGAACATTGAGTTTCCATGTTTCCTTCCAGAAAACATCCCGTCGTTGGTAAGACAGCCTGCTGGTGAACCTGCTCGAGTTTCTGATAGGCTGTCTTCACTGAGTAAATGCCGTGCTTTTCCGGCTCCCAAGCCCAGCAGTCATCATCGTCATGCGATCTCAACGGAATTCGGGGTATTGCTGCTGCATCCACCGGGATGAAAATCTCTCGGATCAACTCCTCATTCCACTGTCCTGAATTGGTCATCAAGTCAGACACCATTGTCACCTCCTGTCCATCACTGGGAGTCAGTGGCCTAGCGTCAAAATGCATAGGTATCCACCTATCCTGCCAGATGTTCGTCGAAGTGCCATTGCCAATCCTCTTGATAGCCCCACGCTGTACCACTTCCTTTCCAGCCAGGATCGCGCGCCATGTATGACTGGCGTGCTTCTTCCTTGTAGTGCCCAAAAAGTCCGAGTCATGGAAGTAGCGGCCTTTCAAAACCCGAGCACAAAGACTGTCAGGACGTGTAATAAGTCTCCATCCTTGTTTCCCTAACATGGCTTTGTTGAAAAGATGCAAGTCTCGAAAGCCTATGCCGCCTTTTGATTTGTGCTGTGTTAGTCGTTCCCACCGGAGCCAGTGGATATGCCCACTATCCGCCGATCCACCCCACCAATAATTCATCATCGCACCCCTTATCTTCTTGCAGGTTGTTTTGGATAAGAGGAAACAACTCATTGAGTATGTGGGCACTGCTTGCGCAACGGCTTTGAGGGACCTCCCTGCCTGCACTACTGAACTCGCGGCCACTCCAAGTCCCAATAAGCCCTCTGATTCTTGTAGGAATGAATTCAAACGCTTCAGCCGTAGAACGTCCCAACGCTGTAGGCAGCCCCAGATATCTATCTGACAATGCCTCGGTTGGTAAATCTAGCTCGTTCCGTACCAGTTCTTTGATCGGATCCGGGCAATTATTACTGAAAAAAACTGCCGACTTGTCCCTGTTAACAAGCTGACCCGATCCCTTGCTGTATGTGTCCAAGATCTCTCGAATCCTAGCACCTCTTTGCGATGCTTCTGAAAAGACAATACTATCATCCGCAAAAAACAAGTGCGATATCCGTGGAGCGTGAAGACCCACGCGAACGCCTCTAGATAAGTGCACTGGACGTGGACTTCAAAAGACTGGACAACCCTTCCGCACAAAGCAAAAACAGATATGGCGATATAGGATCACCCTGCCGAATGCCTCGAGTTGGTCTGAAAACACTTGACAGAGCGCCATTAACTTTGATTGAAAAGGAAGTGCCTGTTTAATTTCTAAAATTTTGCAAAATTTTTCAAGATTCTCCATCACATCGAATCTTTAGACGCATACATGAAGCATTAAATATAAATAAAAAATAAAACTAATTACACAGTTTAGACGAAATTCACGAGACGAATCTTTTAAGCCTAATTAGACTATGATTGGACATTAATTGCCAAATAACAACGAAAGTACTACAGTATCATTTCTCAAAAAGATTCGCCAACTAAACAAGGCCGAAACAGATGTGACGCACCTCATTACTAGAGAGACAAAGCCTTAGTGAAACCCAAGTTTCAGCATGATTCCTAGAAGATAAGTCCACTCTACTCGATCGTACACTTTGGCCATATCAAGCTTGATTGTACATGCGCCACTTTTTCCTCTTTTTCTCTGAAGGTAGTGCGTACACTCATAAGCAACTAGTACGTTGTCCGTAATTAAACGGCCGGTACAAATGCACTTTGCACCTCAGCAACAATATCATCGAGGAAACCCCTGTTAGATAATCTACCACATCCCTGTGTGAACACACGACAGAGGAAGGCGGCACCGAAAAAGCTCTCTGTTGTGGTACTGTAGCCACAACAGGGGCAGGCGCCGAAGTCACTCGGGACCGTCACTGTAGCAGCATGGCAACTGTACTAGGATTAGATGGATAGAATTGTATATATAGTTTGCCACTGCAACTCAGTAAAGAGAGCGAGTTCAGTTTGCCATCTCCTCTGCAGAGCTCCAGCCAACGCTGGTGCTTGTGCTGTGTGTGTGCTCTGTTCTTCCTCTAACCATAGTGTGTGGTAGCCATCGACAGTTCGTGGTCGGCATCGCTAGTGTGTGCTCGGCAACACTAGCGAGTGGTCGGATAACTCCACGCCGGAGATCCAGGGGCCAACAAGTGGTATCAAAGCCGTACAAGTGCCGTCGCCGGACTAACCGCTGGCAATGATGGACGGTTTGGAATCGGGCAACAGCAGCGGAGATCCTATGGCTGCCCAGCCACGATAGGTGGTCGTTGTTCGCACGGTGCGGGGGGTCAGTGGCACCAGTTGGCCGACGCTGACTCGCACCGACTGTGAAGAGTGGTCGTGACCATGAAAGTCAAGCTCAGAGCTCGACGGCTCTGGAATGCTGTTGACAAGGGCACCGAAATGAAGAAGATGACATATCAGCGTTGGAGGCTATCCTCGCTGTTGTACAGGCGGAGTACAGGGAGCCATTGGAGGCGAAGAGCTCTGCTAAGGGGGCGTGGGAGGCTATTGCGGTGATGCGCGTCGGTTCCGACCGCGCAAAGAAGGCGACGACCCAGCTTCTGAAGCAGGAGTACACCAACCTCAAGTTCAAGGATGGTGAATCGGTGGAGGACTTCTCCCTCCACCTGCAGACGCTCATCAGCAAGCTAAAGAGCCACGACGTTACCATCGATAAAGAGGAGGCGGTCTCCAAGTACCTTCACTCCGTGCCGGCAAAGTACATCTAGATCGCTCTCTCCATAGAGACGATGCTGAACTTGTCCACCCTCACCATTAAAGATGTGACAGGCCGTCTACGGATGGTGGACGAGCGCCTGGAGCAGGCGATAGCAACGAAGGACAGCGGCAAACTGCTGCTGATAGAGGAGGAGCGGGCTGCTCAGAGGAACTCCGGGGTAGTCTCCTCTAGCCGCGGTGGCGATGGCAAGCACTGCGGCAAGGCTTCTCCGGAGAAGAAGTAGGTCGACCCCAACGCCTGCCGGTGCTGCGGGAAGATGGGCCATTGGGCAAGGGAGTGCCCAAATCGCAAGCATGAGAAGAAGGCTGAGGCACATCTGGCGCAAGCTGATGATGATAATGAGGCCACTATCCTGATGGCGACGTTCTATGCACTGCACGACATCGAGGCCGAGGAGAAGGGAGAGGTGATGACGGTGAAAGGGCCTAGGAAGACCCTGAAGGCTGTCAACCTCAATGAACCCGCGCCCAAGTCCACCTCGGACGTGTGGGCAGCGAGCAAGAGCAGCGGTGGTATCTGGACTCTAGTGCCAACAATCACATGACGGGCTCCAAGGCAGCCTTCTCCGAGCTCGACGACAATGTGACCGGAACGGTGAAGTTCAGTGACGGCTCAAGGCTGGCAATCCAAGGACGTGACACCATCATCTTCAGATGCTAGAACGGCGAGCACCGCACACTAACGGATGTATATTACATCCCGCAGCTGCGTTCAAGCATCATCAGCATTGGCCAGCTGGATGAGCGCAGTAGCGAGGTACTGATCAAGGACAGAGTCCTCAGGATCAGGGACCAAGAACAGCGACTTCATGCCAAGGTAAAGAGGTCCCAAACCGGTTATACCTGCTCGACTTGAAGGTAGAGCAGCCGGTGTGCCTGGCGGCAAGGCACACCAAGGAACCATGGCTGTGGCATGCCCGGTTCGGACATCTCAGCTTTGACGCGCTTGGTCGGCTGGAGAAGATGGTCTGAGGGCTACCCCACATCAAGCATGGAGGCGAGCTGTGTGACAGCTGCCTGGCCGGGAAGCAAAGGAGGCTGCCGTTACCAAAGGCGGCCAAGTATCGCGTGGCAAATGCTCTAGAGCTCGTCCACGGCAATCTCTACAGGCCAATCACGCCAGCCACAAATGGTGGTTGGCGGTACTTCCTCCTGGTCGTGGATGATTGCAGTCGCTATATGAGGCTGCAACTCCTAACGAGCAAGGACGAAGCGGCGACGGCAATCAAGAAGTTCAAGATGCGAGCGGAGGCCGAGAGCGGCAAGAAGCTACGTGTGCTGAGGACTGATCGCAGCGGCGAATTCACTTCGGTGGAGTTCACTGCATACTGTACGGACGACACCACACCACGCCGTACTCACCACAGCAGAATGGCGTGGTGGAGCGGCAGAACCAGACGATGGTCGGCATGGCTCGATCCATGATGAAGGCAAAGGGCATGCCGGCAAGGTTTTGGGGTGAGGCGGTGACCACAACGGTGTTCATCCTCAGCCGCGCATCCACCAAGGCCCTAAAGGGCAAGATGTCGTTCGAAGCTTGGTATGGGCGCAAGCCGAGCATGTCCTTCCTCCGGACGTTCGGCTACATCGGCCACGTCAGAAAGACAAAGCCGGTCCTCACCAAGCTGGAGGACAGGAGCACACCGATGGTGCTCCTAGGCTACGCGGAAGGTACCAAGGCATATCGGCTCCACGACCCACGTAGAGACAAGGTGCTTGTCTCGCGCGACGTCGTGTTCGACGTGAAGGCGACCTGGGACTGGAACAGTCTGGGCACGGGGGAAGCTGGCGGCTTCACCAGCACCTTCGTCATCAAGCAATTGGTCATCCATGGTGGTGGAGACGCTGGAGAGGAGGTGTAGACCACTCCAACAATAGAGCCGGACACTCCTAGGGTAGTGCCGAGCACTCCGGGAGGGGTGCCAAGCACTCTAGGAGTGGTGCCAAGTGGTCCTGCAGTGGTGTCGACCACTCTAGGACGGGTGCCGAGCACTCCCGTAGCGGAGCCAAGAGTTCTTGTAGTGGTGCCGACCACTCCAAGACTGAGGCTGAGCACTCCTACAGTGGTGCCAAGCACTCCAGGAGTGGTGACAAGCGGTCCAGGAGTAGTGCTGAGCACTGTAGCCGGTGTGCCGAGCACTCTAGGTGCTACGTCAAGCACTCCGGTGGAACAGGGAACTCCATCAATGCTTATCAAGTTCGCCTCACCTCCAAGTGACGTCACTAAGTTCGTGGATGCCTTCCACGATGGTGAGGAGGTGCGGTTCCGCAAGCTAGACAACATCGTCGGTGGCACAAGGTCCTCAGACCTGATGGGTCGGCTGCTCAATGACGCAGAGCTGCTTCTCGTCAGTGCAGAGAAACCACCCACGTTAGCGCTGGCCGAGCACGATGAAAAATGGCGACGGGCGATGCTGGAGGAGATGAAGGCGATCGAGCAAAACGAGACTTAGGAGCTCATCGATCCACCTCCAGGATGTCATCCGATCAGCCTAAAGTGGGTGCACAAAGTCAAGTGGGACGAGCACGGTGCCATTATCAAGCACAAGGCGCGCCTCATCGCCCGAGTCTTTGTCCAGCGCGAGGGCATCGACTTCGAGGAAGTCTTTGCGCCGGTAGCGCGCATGGAGTCTGTCCGTTCTACTAGCTTTGGTAGCAGCAAAGGACTGGCGCATCCATCACCTAGACATAAAATCAGCCTTCCTCAATGGTGAGCTGGCGGAGACGGTCTTCGTCAGGCAACCTCAGGGTTTCGCCGTCAAGGGAGCGGAGCACAGAGTGCTCCGACTGCGCAAGGCACTCTATGGGCTGCGGCAGGCCCCACGAGCGTGGAACGCCAAGCTTGACGCCACGCTGGGCGAGCTGGGGTTCACGAGGTGCGCAACCAAGCA